GTTCTATGTGTTCTCCGTGTTCTCTGTGTTCTCTGTGTTCTCTGTGTTCTCTGTGTTCTGTGTTCTCTGTGTTCTCTGTGTTCTCTGTGTTCTCTGTGTTCTCTGTGTTCTCTGTGTTCTATGTGTTCTCTGTGTTCTCTGTTTTCTCTGTTCTCTGTGTTCTCTGTGTTCTCTGTGTTCTCTGTGTTCTCTGTTCTCTGTGTTCTCTGTGTTCTCTGTGTTCTCTGTGTTCTCTCTGTTCTCTGTTCTCTGTGTTCTCTGTGTTCTCTGTGTTCTCTGTGTTCTCTGTGTTCTCTGTGTTCTCTGTGTCTCTGTGTTCTCTGTGTTCTCTGTGTTCTCTGTGTTCTCTGTGTTCTCTGTGTTCTCTGTGTTCTCTGTGTTCTCTGTGTTCTCTGTGTTCTCTGTGTTCTCCGTGTTCTCCGTGTTCTCCGTGTTCTCCGTGTTCTCCGTGTTCTCCGTGTTCTCCGTGTTCTCCGTGTTCTCCGTGTTCTCCGTGTTCTCCGTGTTCTCTGTGTTCTCTGTGTTCTCTGTGTTCTCCGTGTTCTCTGTGTTCTCTGTGTTCTCTGTGTTCTCTGTGTTCTCTGTGTTCTCTGTGTTCTCCGTGTTCTCTGTGTTCTCTGTGTTCTCTGTTCTCTGTGTTCTCTGTGTTCTCTGTGTTCTCTATGTTCTCTGTGTTCTCTGTGTTCTCTGTGTTCTCTGTGTTCTCTGTGTTCTCTGTGTTCTCTGTGTTCTATGTGTTCTCTGTGTTCTCTGTTCTCTGTGTTCTCTGTGTTCTCTGTGTTCTCTGTGTTCTCTGTGTTCTCTGTTCTCTGTTCTCTGTGTTCTCTGTGTTCTCTGTGTTCTCTGTGTTCTCTGTGTTCTCTGTGTTCTCTGTGTTCTCTGTGTTTCTCTGTGTTCTCTGTGTTCTCTGTGTTCTCTGTGTTCTCTGTGTTCTCTGTGTTCTCTGTGTTCTCTGTGTTCTCTGTGTTCTCTGTGTTCTCTGTGTTCTCTGTGTTCTCTGTGTTCTCTGTGTTCTATGTGTTCTCTGTGTTCTCTGTGTTCTCTGTGTTCTCTGTGTTCTCTGTGCTCTGTGTTCTCTGTGTTCTCTGTGTTCTCTGTGTTCTCTGTGTTCTCTGTTCTCTGTGTTCTCTGTGTCTCTGTGTTCTCTGTTCTCTGTGTTCTCTGTGTTCTCTGTGTTCTCTGTGTTCTCTGTTCTCTGTGTTCTCTCTGTTCTCTGTTCTCTGTGTTCTCTGTGTTCTCTGTGTTCTCTGTGTTCTCTGTGTTCTCTGTGTTCTCTGTGTTCTCTATGTTCTCTGTGTTCTCTGTGTTCTCTGTGTTCTCTGTGTTCTCAGCGCCATGTGTTCTCCGTGTTCTCTGTGTTCTATGTGTTCTCTGTGTTCTCTGTGTTCTCAGCGCCATGTGTTCTCTGTGTTCTCTGTGTTCTCTGTGTTCTCTGTGTTCTTTCTGTTCTCTGTGTTCTCTGTGTTCTCTGTGTTCTCTGTGTTCTCTGTGTTCTCTGTGTTCTCTGTGTTCTCTGTGTTCTCTGTGTTCTCTGTGTTCTCTGTGTTCTCTGTGTTCTCTGTGTTCTCTGTGTTCTCTGTGTTCTCTGTGTTCTCTGTGTTCTCTGTGTTCTCTGTGTTCTCAGCGCCATGTGTTCTCCGTGTTCTCTGTGTTCTATGTGTTCTCTGTGTTCTCAGCGCCATGTGTTCTCCGTGTTCTCTGTGTTCTCTGTGTTCTCTGTGTTCTCCGTGTTCTCTGTGTTCTCTCTGTTCTCGTGTTCTCTGTGTTCTCCGTGTTCTCCGTGTTCTCCGTGTTCTCCGTGTTCTCCGTGTTCTCCCTGTTCTCCGTGTTCTCCGTGTTCTCCGTGTTCTCCGTGTTCTCCGTGTTCTCCGTGTTCTCCGTGTTCTCCGTGTTCTCCGTGTTCTCCGTGTTCTCCGTGTTCTCCGTGTTCTCCGTGTTCTCCGTGTTCTCTGTGTTCTCTGTGTTCTCTGTGTTCTCTGTGTTCTCTGTGTTCTCTGTGTTCTCTGTGTTCTCTGTGTTCTCTGTGTTCTCTGTGTTCTCTGTGTTCTCTGTGTTCTCTGTGTTCTCTGTGTTCTCTGTGTTCTCCGTGTTCTCTGTGTTCTCTCTGTTCTCTGTGTTCTCAGCGCCATGTGTTCTCCGTGTTCTCTGTGTTCGCCGTGTTCTCTGTGATCTCTGTGTTCTCCGTGTTCTCTGTGTTCTCCGTGTTCTCTGTGTTCTCTGTGTTCTCTGTGTTCTCCGTGTTCTCTGTGTTCTCCCTGTTCTCTGTGTTCTCTGTGTTCTCTGTGTTCTCAGCGCCATGTGTTCTCTGTGTTCTCTGTGTTCTATGTGTTCTCTGTGTTCTCTGTGTTCTCTGTTCTCTGTGTTCTCTGTGTTCTCTGTGTTCTCTGTGTTCTCTGTGTTCTCTGTGTTCTCTGTTCTCTGTGTTCTCTGTGTTCTCTGTGTTCTCTGTGTTCTCTGTGTTCTCTGTTCTCTGTGTTCTCTGTTCTCTGTGTTCTCTGTGTTCTCTGTGTTCTCTGTTCTCTGTGTTCTCTGTTCTCTGTGTTCTCTGTGTTCTCTGTGTTCTCTGTGTTCTCTGTGTTCTCTGTTCTCTGTGTTCTCTGTGTTCTCTGTGTTCTCCGTGTTCTCCGTGTTCTCCGTGTTCTCCGTGTTCTCCGTGTTCTCCGTGTTCTCTGTGTTCTCCGTGTTCTCCGTGTTGTCTGTGTTGTCTGTGTTCTCTGTGTTCTCCGTGTTCTCCGTGTTCTCCGTGTTCTCTGTGTTCTCCGTGTTCTCCGTGTTCTCTGTGTTCTCTGTGTTCTCTCTGTTCTCCGTGTTCTCTGTGTTCTCCGTGTTCTCCGTGTTCTCTCTGTTCTCTGTGTTCTCCGTGTTCTCCCTGTTCTCTGTGTTCTCTGTTCTCTGTGTTCTCTGTGTTCTCTGTGTTCTCTGTGTTCTCCGTGTTCTCCGTGTTCTCCGTGTTCTCCGTGTTCTCCGTGTTCTCCGTGTTCTCCGTGTTCTCTGTGTTCTCCCTGTTCTCCGTGTTCTCCGTGTTCTCCGTGTCTCCGTGTCTCCGTGTATTCTCCGTGTTCTCCGTGTCTCCGTCTCCGTGTCTCTTGTGTTTCTCCGTGTTCTTGCCGGTGTTCTCCGTGTCCTCTCCGTGTTCTCATGTGTTCTCACGGTCCGGTGTTCTCCGTGTTCTCAGTGTTCTCCGTGCTTTCCGGTTCTTGTGTTCTCCTGGTCCGTGTCTCCCTGTTCTCTGTGTTCTCTGTGTTCTCCCTGTTCTCTGTGTTCTCCCTGTTCTCCCTGTTCTCTGGGTCTCTGTGTTCCTCCTGTGGTTCTCAGCGCCATGTGTTTTCTCCTTCTCCGTTCTCCTCCGTGTTCTCTGTGTTCTCCCTGTTCTCTGTGTTCTCCCTGTTCTCTGTGTTCTCCCTGTTCTCCGTGTTCTCTGTGTTCTCCCTGTTCTCTGTGTTCTCTGTGTTCTCTGTGTTCTCCCTGTTCTCTGTGTTCTCCCTGTTCTCTGTGTTCTCTGTGTTCTCCGTGTTCTCTGTGTGTTCCTCCGTGTTCTCTGTGTTCTTCTGTTCTCTGCTGTGTTCTCCCGTGTTCTCCCTGTTCTCTGTGTTCTCCCTGTTCTCTGTGTTCTCCGTGTTCTCCGTGTTCTCTGTGTTCTCGTGTTCTCGTGTCTCGTGTTCTCCGTGTTCGCTTTTCTCCGTGTATTCTCTTTGTTCTTCTGTGTTCTTCTGTGTTTCTCAGCGCCATGTGTTCCTCCGTGTTTCCTGTGTTCTATGTGTTCTCTGTGGTTCTCCTGTGTTTCTCAGCGCCACTGTGTGTCTCTGTGTTCTCTGTGTTCTCTGTTGTTCTCTGTGTTCTCTGTGTCTCTGTGTGTGTTCTCTGTTGTTTCCTCTGTGGTCTCCTCGTGTGTTTCTCCTGTGTGTTCTCCGTGTTCTCCGTGTTCTCCGTGTTCTCCGTGTTCTCTGTGTTCTCTCTGTTCTCGTGTTCTCTCTGTTCTCGTGTTCTCTGTATTCTCTGTGTTCTCTGTGTTCTCTCTGTGTTCTCTGTGTTCTCTGTGTTCTCTGTGTTCTCTGTGTTCTCTGTGTTCTCTGTGTTCTCTGTGTTCTCCGTGTTCTCTGTGTTCTCTGTGTTCTCTGTGTTCTCTGTGTTCTCTGTGTTCTCTGTGTTCTCTGTGTTCTCTGTGTTCTCCGTGTTCTCTGTGTTCTCCGTGTTCTCTGTGTTCTCTGTGTTCTCTGTGTTCTCAGCGCCATGTGTTCTCCGTGTTCTCTGTGTTCTATGTGTTCTCTGTGTTCTCTGTGTTCTCAGCGCCATGTGTTCTCTGTGTTCTCTGTGTTCTCTGTGTTATCTGTGTTCTCTGTGTTCTCTGTGTTCTCTGTTCTCTGTGTTCTCTGTGTTCTCTGTGTTCTCTGTGTTCTCTGTGTTCTCTGTGTTCTCTGTGTTCTCTGTGTTCTCTGTGTTCTCCGTGTTCTCTGTGTTCTCCGTGTTCTCCGTGTTCTCCGTGTTCTCCGTGTTCTCTGTGTTCTCTGTGTTCTCTCTGTTCTCTGTGTTCTCCGTGTTCTCCGTGTTCTCCGTGTTCTCTGTGTTGTCTGTGTTCTCCGTGTTCTCTGTGTTCTCTGTTCTCTGTGTTCTCGTGTTCTCTGTTCTCCGTGTTCTCCGTGTTCTCCGTGTTCTCCGTGTTCTCCGTGTTCTCCGTGTTCTCCGTGTTCTCTGTGTCATGTGTTCTCTGTGTTCTCCGTGTTCTCCGTGTTCTCCGTGTTCTCCGTGTTCTCCGTGTTCTCTCTGTTCTCCGTGTTCTCCGTGTTCTCCGTGTTCTCCGTGTTCTCCGTGTTCTCCGTGTTCTCCGTGTTCTCCGTGTTCTCCGTGTTCTCCGTGTTCTCCGTGTTCTCCGTGTTCTCCGTGTTCTCCGTGTTCTCCGTGTTCTCTGTGTTCTCCGTGTTCTCCGTGTTCTCTGTGTCCTGTGTTCTCCGTGTTCTCCGTGTTCTCTGTGTCATGTGTTGATCAGTGTGATGTGTTTGCAGGCCGAGGGACGAGAGAGGAGCAGCCTGGAGTCTAACAACACACACCTGCCTGTTCCAAAGGTAACACACACACATCATGTTGAACATGGAATCATCCAAAGTATCACATCCCATCCACACAGCAAGGTGAACTGTCAATTTACCAATTCATCTTAATCAGAAATCCTTTATTAGTTCCACATTGGGGAGAGTGAAAGGCAGCAACATAAATAACTTAGTGACATAGGTAACATATTAAGTGTTGACATTATAAAAAAATTTGGGACATTTATTATAATGTACCTTATGTACCTTTTTTGTCCTTAAAATTTCAGAAATAGCAAAAAGCTTTTATTTTTTTGCTGAAGGGGATCTGTTTACATCACTTCAGTCAAAAAGCCATATTTCAGATTTAGTAAACGATCCTATTTGAAAGGAAAGCATAATATCCTGATGTTTGAGAGAGTGAAGAAATATGAAGGAATCCCAGAAGAAGTATGAAAACATTTTGACATATTAATTGAAAAAATGGAATGTCTTTCTTAATTTGTATCAATGCTTCCTTTTCTTGAACTTTATAGTAGGCGAGTTGTGATATTACAACCTGCTTGATATTTGAAACAATAGTCCATTATAATTCATGTAGGCCTTTCAACACCAAAAGGTTTTACAGTTAAAAATAATAAAGATACAAAAAAGGAGCTGTACTGCAGGGATGCGAATTAGCAACACTGTTCTTTTAAAAGAGTGAATAGAATCGTAATAGCTCATTCTAACATCACCATCAGGATTGAAGTGGGCCTCCTTTTAGCAAAACGCTCTGCTAAACGTGTGTTAGGCTTTTATTGTGAACAGTGGAAGGAGTCTGGTCTTTTGTGTGTACACAGGTGTGTGTAGCAGATCTGGTTCAAGTTGACTTGATTTTTGTTTTTTTGAAGGACTATGCTTTAAGATCTTGTATCTAAAATAGATTTACTGGAATTATTCTTTCTTAATCTTGTGTCCAAATGATGTGTTCTTTGGACTTTAGTAAGGGATTCTTACCAGAAGAAATGTAAAATTGGCTTTTATGCAAAAACCGCTGCTGGAAGTGCATGTTCTAATGTACTAGAAACTCTTTGTATAAACTTGCATGAGTAGTGTGTGCAGCTGATAGAGATGGATGCCTACTGGAGAAATGAATTCAGGCAGAAATAAATGTTAAACTGCTTATCATGGCTGAACCCTCCATGACATCTGTAGCTTTTGACTGAAACATGGTCTTTGTAAATCAGTGCATCATTTGCTATTTGCACGCCTTTTTCATCAGTAAGTCATATTTTCTGACGGCTTTTCTCTTCCTTCATATCATCTCACCTCTGCAGTCCATCCTCCTCTTCCTTCATTCCTCTCTTCACCTCCTTCAGAATCTCTTCTTTCATCTCCTCCTCTCTTTCACCTTCTTTCACCCTCTCTCCTTAATCTCTCCGCTCCCTCCTCTGTCTCTGCGAAGCTGCTGACTCAGCTGGATGATATAAAGTGCTCTATCAGCTCAACCAGCAGCATCTCTCTCTTAAGTGAGTGGGGAGGTGGAGAGGGATTGGGGGGGGTACTCTGAGGACACTCTGGTCCTCCAGCATGGGTACACCCAGTACTGCAGTACTCTTAGGAAATACTACTGCGGCACTTTATAGCTGATTGTCCTAGCTTTACTGTCAAAGGGAAATGATCAGAATGAGTTTAGCAAAGCAAGCGGGGCTTCAGACCTTTTTGCACATCAGTGCAATGTGAAGAAATCCAAAAAAATAGATATTTCTTTGTGCACACGGGTGTTGATTTTGTTTGAAGACTGCGTGAAATACTTAAATTATCAACAGCTTTTTGCATAAAGACAACATTTTAGGATCTCTGAAATAGAACTAATGGAAGTATTAGTTATTCATCTTGTGCACAGAAATCCTGTGCATTTGTGTCTTTATTTATTTAGGGATCCTTATCTTGAGGATATATAGATCTAACTTAAAAAGCACATGATAATATGTGTGGTATAAATGTGTAGTACACAAAATAAAATGATTTAAAATATAGAAAATGTTATTCACTTTTTCTGCACAAGCAGCGTCGGATGGATGCTCCATTATCCTGGCCAACATTTTTGTTTAGTGAACATCATTTTAAGAGAACAGTCTCTAATAAGGTTATCCTAAATAATACCTTCACCCGCGTAAATAAATAGCTTTCTTACATGATTGTTCCTGTATTGTTTTAGAATCAGGCTCCCTTTTCACTTTCATAATAGAAATTCACTTCCATCAACGTATTGTGATTGTTTTTTATCGCGTTCCACATATTAAGTCCCAAATGAAATATACACACAAGATAATGACTTTGCACAAGCCGATTCAACATCAATATCCAAATCAAGTCGTTGAGATAAACATAATGTTCTTATAAACTTTAGCACACCAGATAAACAAGCTCTTCATTTTGAAATATCTTGTGTCATGAACGGTTCTGTGTTAAACTAAAGTCCCATCCGTGCCGTACTGTACTCTACTGTACTCCGTGTTCCGCTGCAGTGTCTGCTGCGGCCATCCTCTGCTGCTTTATTTCCTGTTTTATATGCAGCCCATTTGGCTGAAGAGGTTTTTTCACAGCCCACAGGTCTCTGATGGCTTTCCATAAAGACAGCCGGCGCTGTCACTTCAGTGCCCGATCGCTCTCGGTCACGCCAGCCCGCTGACCAGAGAGAGACCCCCGTTACACATCCACACCTCGTTAACTTTTAGAGGTCATATGTTGAAGACTGCTGTAGTTACAGGAAGCACTCACGTTCATCTTCTTTGTGCAGATAAAGAGCTGCAGCAAATCACAATTCAAACCCAGTCAAACATGAATACAAGCAAGCAAACAAGCAGCTTTACAGGCAGCAAACAGCACCGAGCTGTCAGAAAGCACCGTAACACTAACCATCAACTTTACTCTGACTGTTGTTAAATAAACATCTGCTGAGGACACCCTGTCTGTCGTTGTATTGGTCTTTTTACTGATTGTTACCCACTTTGGACAGTTATTTAGTTTTTAGGACATGCGTTGATCTGGCCCATTTCATCTGAGGAAACCCGATTCAAGACTTATTAAAGCCTGATCCATATTTCTCACAAAAGCTTCTTTAATTTGTGTCTTTTTCACAAGGCTCATTATGTGTTGTTGAAGGATTTGATCCACAGAATAAGTTGTTTTAATGAATGGCTGATTGTTGGCTGTTTGTAAAAGTCCTCTTCCCTTTAGTCCAAACGCTTCAACAAAAAAGATCATGTTTATTTTCACTTAATGATGGTGCTAATGAATCACCAGTTTGATCAAATACAAATAAAACGTTCAACTGATCAACAGTGAACAAAACAAGAACCAGCGTTAAGGTGTCGAACATGCATTCTTCATATGGCCAGTGGGCGACTCCACTTGTTGCAAAATAATCCAATTGTATAACAGTCTATGAGAAAATAAACCGGAACTCATATCAGTTTGACACTTTGGTCAGACTGAAAGATCTCAACATCTATTGGAGTATTTTATGTTTCCTATAGATCTTTTTTTCTTTTTTCTTTGGATTTGCATTTAGCACCACTAATAGTTCATAGTTTGCTCTTGTCCACCTCTTCAGTTAACAACAAAATACCTTTTAAACTATTGAACCAGTTTCACCAGCCTCAATCTTCTAAACATCTTATTAACACGCTGTAATGATGACTTTGTTCACAGATGTGACGACTAAGTGCGACCCGAAGCTGCTCCACGTGATTTGCTCTTAGCCAGCCACAAGATTGAGCGCAGAGCCTTGGGGTTAAACATTTTAGTTAGTATCGTATCTATGGTAACTTCCCCTGCTATTTTGCAGCCCTATATTCAGCTGTCCTCTGATTGGTTTATATATGATAAACATAATCAGTTGAAATAATTTAAATGTTGAATTCAGATGTCATTTCCCTCCAGATGTGGCTCTAACTTATCCAAATCATGTGAATACCTGGTGGAGATTGAGATTAAAACACAACCAGAAACATCTGATCACAAATTGTCATTAATCATAATTGTATGATTGGACAGTAGATGCAACTGCAGTAAAAGCTGTCAGCACAGATAGCCTCTCTGAGACTCAGCAGAGAGTCTGAAGCCACCAACTCGTCATCTCGACTGTCCTCATCTTCTAATGGCAGAGATATTAAATGACAACGTCCTTAAATCTTATGAATATGAGGCCATGCAGTCACGGCCAATACACATCAGTCTGCAGAACATCCTGTTAGCGTGATGAGCTCTCTGCTGCCGCCGTCTGCTCCTCACCTCCATTATATGGCCCTGATGGGCCAGCTTCCCAGGCCCAAATTAAGAGAAGAGGAACAGAGTCCTTGAAGATGAGGCTTCGTCGATGGAAATTAGCCTAAGTGTTGTCATTAATATTTCCAGGCGCGGACTAATGTCTGCATCGTAATGTTAGGAACAGGATATCCCCTCAGTATCTGCTGAGGAAGGCTCTTTGGGGAGTTGGAGAAAACCTTTATGTGTTCAGAGATGAAGGCTAATGTTCAAAGTAAGTCAAGTTTTAGATTTAGTGTCTGCTGCGGTTATTCAGTTTGGTCTCTCCGCTGAGGAGACAGATGAAGCCTCTGGGTCCTACAGTCTGACTCATTCACCTGACCTCCAGCTCGCCCTAAATGCATCGAAGGCAACACCCAGCACTGATGAAACTCTGTGGATGAGCAACAGTATGTTTTTAGTTTATCTGTTCGGCATTTTCCCAATTTAGTTCTCAAATCTCAAAGTGATGTTCTTCCTGTTTTTAAATGTAATTAGAAGTATTTAAAGGAAAGAGACAGAGGCCACTTTTACACACAAACCCTCTGTTTACCACAGGAAAGTGAACGTCGATACAAGCATCAAGTGTCTGATTGATGATTAAAGTTTGACTAGACAACTGATTTTTGGAAAGCATTTTGCCCTTCAGGTCAACCATTGCTTATGTTTCTTCGTAGTCATCATCATCATCAGCATCAGCATTCATTCAGACTTGCTTGAATTTAGCCACTGACTTTCTGCTGTGACCTTTGAACTTTTCATTTTCACTCTGTGGTGTTGTGTGTGATCCAGGGCTTCGGTGACGGCTCCATCTTGCCAGAAGACCTCCTTCAAAAAGTTGAAATAGAGGAAGAGGAGGAGCCAGAGCTTATCCTGGATGGAGGTCTGCCTCGCTACACCTCCTTCTCCCTGGCCTCTGACCTCTTGTCTCCTATGGAGGAAGGCAGGGAGATGGCTGTGGACGAGGACGTTGAGGTGGATGAAGATGAGGAGGAGAAGGAGGTGAAGATGCAGGATAAAGTGGAGGAGAACACAGGCTTGTTACCCAGGAAACCTCCTCCGTCGTGGGAGGAGTGGAAGCACAACTCCTCCAGCTGGGCGGGAGCAGCAGAGGAGGTGAGGGGCTGGAGCCGTTACTGACGTCTGTTAAGTCAAAAGAGAATCAGCTGATCAGCGTCCTTGTGAGAAACAAAAAAGAAACACAGAAATTGCTTTTTCAGTGTTTGTCTGAAATCACCAGGAACTTTTTTATCAGTGCAGATCATTTGTTTTTTTATTTTCTTATTGTTTTAAGAGAACCCTGTGTAGATTAAAAATAGTGGGCATCAGTGGAAACATAGACAGGATATAGAGGAGGAAAGAGAGAGGTGAACGACTTTGGCAAAACGAGGGGTTACGTATGGTAACCCTTGTTATATAAGCACAGGTGGAGCCCTCTACTGGACTCTATGGGTACTACCTTATCATGCAAACATTCACCTACTGAGACTTCTATAGACGTAGCTGGCCCCGGGGCGGGCCTACCTGAATGCGCGCGCATCTCACCTCCATATAAAAGGAGGCCTCGCCTCCTGACCGTCATCCTACACTTCTCTTCAGCGAGCAGCATAGGACAGACAGGGCCCCGAGTAGAGGGCTCCGCCTTTGCTTATATAACAAGGGTTACCATACGTAACCCCTCGTTATATCTCTCACAGGCTCCGCCCTCTACTGGACTCCATGGGTACAGTGGGCGGAGCCCCGATGTATACACACGCACTGCCGTCCAGCACACCGTTCCACCTCACTGTCCCTGACTGGCTTTAGCAGCCGCTGCGCCACACTCACCTCTCCCTCGGTTGTAACCGTGGAGAACTCTAGGCTGCAGCCGATAGAGCACACCCTGACGCGCTTACATCGCGAAAAGTGTGCTCGAAAACAGTGCTGAGGGCTCAGAGCACAGAGCCATGGAGAACCACAGGGCACAGTGGTTGTTGCGCCTGCTGGCGAACAGATCCACTTCTGCTGTCCCGAACTGGGCCCAGATCTGCTTCACCACCTCCGGGTGAAGCACCCACTCGCCTGGCAGGGGGCCGCCCCTCGACATGAGGTCGGCCCCCCTGTTCTCCAGTTCTGGGATGTGGAGGGCTCTCAGAGATAACACCACCTCTGAAGCCCACAACCACAGCCTCTCCGCTGTGGCCAACAAGGCGGCGGAGTGGACTCCGCCCTGCCTGTTGATATAAGCCACTGTGGTGCTGTTGTCGCTCCTGACCAATACATGTCTCCCTTGAATTAGGGGCATGAAATGCTTGAGGACTAACACTACCGCCCGTAGCTCTAGGAGGTTGCTGTGCCGTGTTTCTGTTAGAGACCAGCGCCCACCTATAGCCCTCTTCAGGCAGGTCCCTCCCCATCCTCTTCTGGATGCGTCGGTGAACACTGTAATGTAGGAGGTCACCCGTCCCAGTGGAGACCCCCTCCGGAGGTGATCCGGGGACCCCCAGAACCGGAGGTTGCCCTCCACTGAGGGGGGGATGGTCACCAGACGTAGTGTGTGCCTCTTGGGATCCAAGCGCAGGCTGGAGAACCACCTCTGCAGGCGGCGCCACAATGTGAGCAGCCGCCATGATACCCAGAGTCTGCATGACAGTTAAAGCTGTCACTGTCCACCCCTGTCGCAGCCTGTGAACCGCCCGGAGAAGGGACGCACGTCTACTCTCTGACAGGGTGGTACCCATAGACTTCAGTAGAGGGCAGAGCCTGTGAGAGATATAACAAAGCTGTGTGAATGGAATATCTGAAATGCATCTGACATCCGCCGGATTCTCCCTCCTCTTCCTTTTGAGACCTTAAAGCATTACAAACGTTCTTTCTTTAATATTGATCTTAGTGTTGTACGCCAGGTGTATTTTTAAAATTGTATTTGTTTTGTCTCTATTTCTTTACATGTTTACTGTATACAAGTCTACCTTGATTTTAGACTGAGGATTAACTTCAATTTCAAGGAATTCAAAGTCAGTTATTGTCTGTGTGTACTCCTCTCAGACTTGGAGCAGAGAGGAGCAGGAGGAGCTCAGCGACAGGGAGAAAGAGGAGCTCAGCGACAGGGAGAAAGAGGAGCTCAGCGACAGGGAGGAAGAGGAGGACCTGCAGAGATCTGACCATGACAACATTGTGTCATCAGCACAAAGGATTCCGGGTCAGAAACATATCTGAATATTTATTATCACCTTTTTAAAATCATAAAGAAAGGCAAAACATAGTGTAAATGAAAAAAAGTAACTGTGTGTGTGTGTGTGTGTGTGTGTGTGTGTGTGTGTGTGTGGTGTGTGTGTGTGTGTGTGTGTGTGTGTGTGTGTGTGTGTGTGTGTGTGTGTGTGTGTGTGTGTGTGTGTGTGTGTGTGTGTGTGTGTGTGTGTGTGTGTGTGTGTGTGTGTGTGTGTGTGTGTGTGTGTGTGTGTGTGTGTGTGTGTGTGTGTGTGTGTGTGTGTGTGTATTCCAGACTTCAGAGACAGTGAAGCAGACTCTGAGCTCACTCTGACAGACACCGACACAGAGTCAGTGTTTACTGCAGCTACACATCAATCATTACCATCCTCTTCCTCCATCTCTTCCGTTTGGGCTCTTCTTCTGTTGTTTCTTTCACAGTCCTCTGTCTCCCTCCTGTGGTTACATACTGAATCTCACAGTGAGCTGCTCCATACTGCTGGATTTTGATATGCAGAACGCATTGTATTTCTGTTGCTTGACTTGCAACTTAATAGTTCCCTTGTGAATGTATACATTAAACGTAACTGTTTAATTGATCAGATAGAATAGTTCTTAACTTATTATCTTTAAATGTTTCGCTCTTGTTCTATTTAAAAAAATATATATGTGGCTATCACTTTGCATTACTTAGTTTCTAGATCAATCTAGTCACATTCCCCCTCCAATTCAGCTTGACAGGTTTGATAACTTTGAAACTCTAGATTTCCACCTGTTTGAGTTTGAACAATAATTGGCTTTGCCATAACTGACTGATCAAGCAGTCCAGTGACAAGTTAATAAGCATGAGCTCACATTTCCAAATGAGTTATCCCATGTTGTTGGCTCGGTCTTGTCCGTTCAGTCTTCTCCAAATCCTGACATTTCAGTGACTGATTATTAGACAATGCATGTAATCTAAGAAGTGAACCGTTGTTTTTTTTGTTTTTTTACTTGGAGGTCCATCAGGTTGATTAACAGTAAGAGAAGGAAGAGGCGGAGTCAGGGAGGAGCCTCTCTACCAATGAGAGGAGGCCACGGGTAGGACACCCAGCTCATCTGCAGCCAGTTAAAGGATCCCCTGCAGACACCTGTTGCTAACTGAGTGTGTGTGTTCACAGAGATCTACCTGAGAGAGAGGACGGGGAGGGAGAGGAAACTCCTGCCTTCAGTCACTGGGGACTCCCTCGCAGGTGACACACACACACACACACACACACACACACACACACACACACACACACACACACACACCAGTGTTGTTTTCAAGTCACTAATTCTCGAATCCGGATTCACTCTCAAGTTGAGTGCGAGTCCGAGTCAGCATTACATGTGCTTTAGTCCGATTCACCCAAGAATAGTCCGAGTCGAATCACGGGTCATAATGTATAAATCTGTGTGGATATATTTGTTTAAATGCAATAAATGAAAAACATAGGTCACAGGTTCCTCAACAGTGCATTACAAGACATACAGTTAAAATAAATATAGTCCAAAAGATATAATAGTGCAAGCTCAGGTGTTTAATAGTCGTATGGCCTGTGGGAGGAGGAAATCTTGTGGTTTTAGTCCTGATGCTGCAGTACCGCCTGCCAGACAGCAGCAGACAGAACAGTTTGTTGCTGGGGGGATGGGGGTGATTCTTCTCTATGGAGCACCTGTAGAAGGTCAGGATCCTCTCTATTGCCCCTTTCACACCAACGCGGTTCCAGGGCTGGTTCGGAGCTAGAGCCTGAAAAGCACCTTTTTTTCTGTTCACACCGCAGCGGAGCCGCCTCTAAGCCCCGAAAACCGGTGCTTTTCTAGAAGTAAGAACCGCATACGTCACCCTTACGTCGGAGGCAGGGGCAGGAGCAGGATTAACCTGAGCAATAACAGTTTATGGCGAGTACGGCAAATGAAAGTTGTAACAAGCAGTAGTGCTGAGCAAAGTGGCTAGAACGCAACCACACACTTATTAAAGAAACCACACTTTATAAAGTCAGGCAATACTAACTTGGCTTAGTGTGATTCTGTTTCTTTGCGCCTTACTTTGACCATCCGTTCACTGTTATTGATCATTGTGGAGAGCAGGCAGACGTGTTGTTTTGTATTATAGCAGCTATCGGATGGAATCAATGCATGGGCTGCACAGGTTGTTGTGTCCGACTATCACAAGTAGAATCATAATGAAAAATACGCCGGTAAAATGTGCCGGCTTATGCCATAATATGATAGCAACAAGAAGTAGTCAAGATAGTCAGTTTAGCTTCGGTTGCTATGCTAACATCACCCATTTTATACCAGAGAAACTTTCATAACAGCGTTGTGATGCCAAACAGCGTTGTGATGCCAAACAGCGGGCTGCACTGCAGCAGTCGGTAAATGTCACTGAAACACATTAATAAACAATGAACCAAGGCACTCTGGAGAAAAGTATACGGAAGAGGATTAGGGCCACATGCATTTCTTTTTGGGAGGATTTGGGAGAAAAAAGTCAGAATTCTGACTTTAATCTCAGAATTCTGACTTCAAAGTCAGAAATACCAGTAACTATAGAGAACCAGCTTCAGTGAGAGACTTACACATTGCAGTAGGCAACAATGGAGGATGTGAGTGAATTTCTGCGCGCCAGAGGGGTCCAAGAGGAAACCATATTGCAAATGGAAGAACAAAAGGTGAGTTATAAATATATAAGTGTGTTTTGGGCGTTTGTAAAAACAACGAAAAGGCGTTAGAATGTGAAATGCAGACATTGATGAGCTAGCAGCAAGGGCATTAGCTTATATGCTATGGCTCCCCCCCCCCATCTAATTCAGTAAATAATGGTTTAGTTCGTTGACACGCAAGTTTGTGCTTGTTGGAACAGTGACGACTAACCAAGAGCAACAGCCTGGTGGTTTTCATGTTTCTGTAGAGATTTCATTAAGTGTGTTTAACAAGGCAGCTAGCAGCTAGCTGACAATCAGAAGGCTATTAACCATCAAAATGATCAAAAACTCAAACATCATCTCGTCTAGAATGGAGTAAGACAGTTGTGGTTGTGGGAAAATTATATTGTAAAAAAATACACATTTTATGAAACAAGTTAGTGAGGTTAAAAGTAAGAGTGTTTAACACTTTCTGGCTTGAAATTAAAGGTAGGATTTTTGTTCCTGCATATAAAGTGTTCCTGATAAATATGATCAGTAGGCTACTCCGTAATGGACACTTTTACTGAGCGTAAAATAGCAAGAAGAGTCTTAACCTTACAATATTTATACAATGTATTTTCTTTACTTTTTTGCAGATTAAAAGCAACGTTATTGTCTGATGTACAATTCAACTTCAACTGCCATATTACAACCACTCCTACGAAGACCAAATTGTCTTCTTTATATTCTGCATTACATCAGTTTGCTGCGCTGCTCACAACAATGCCTGCAGGGCCGGATTTGGATGACTTAATTAAACTTTACTTTAATTTTTGGACAAAAGTCTTATCAGTCATATAATAAAAGTAGTATGAGTAATAATAATATTATAATTCACTATGTTCGTGGACATTGCAGCAATCTCAGCCTCCATCTAGACAGGTAGAAGTTATGTCCGAAAGCTTCTTAAGACATGTCGTCTACATTTACTGTGCTTTTTTTCTATGCAGGATGAATTTGATGAAGTGGTCAACACCTGGAATTCCCACAAAATCAGACCAAGATCAACTGATGACACAGCATCTGGTCGGCCAGTGATTATGTACTCATTCCCAGAGTTGCATAGTGCTGAGGATAGACTCAAACCTATTGCCATGGAGGAGGTCCATTTGTGTATGTTAGAGTGTACTCCCAAAGGCCAGTTTCCATGCCATGAAACTGTTTTTGAACTGTGTTGTCTACTCATGGCGGAAAACGGATGGGATGATCCAGCAGATCCATTTGCTGCAGCTGATCTATACATCCTGTTACGAGATGAAATACGACGACAAGTATTTGATTAAGGGTACATGTAGCGTACATGTCATTATGCAAAACACAAAATACTGTTCAGGACAAAATTTGTGACCTTAGAAAATAAGTAATTATTTAGTCAAAAATGTATCAATAAAAATCATAGCCAATGGTATTTCATGTATTCCTTAAATGTTTGTCTCTCAGCACTATTTTCATTTTTCTTTACAGCTTTTCAACATCTTTGTTACATTGTTCTACATTGTATACACAAATAATGTACCATGTGTTACACAATGGTAACAACTGATTGCTAATTTTCACTCAGATACCAGATTATTTCATGTGCGCTCTAAAAACAGTAAGAAGCCAGTCATTAATATTGCCATGTAGTTTGCTGCAACTGAGACGGCCTTGCTTACACTGGGCAAACTTCCTCCTTTAAGAAAGGATAGCAACGCCATTCGCTGACATAACAAACCTGCTAGTGCCATGTATTGGTGAATACAAATATCACTTTAGAATGACTCAGCATCAGAGCAGGTGAGTTTTTACTGTATTCCAGATAACACAAAGCTAATAACACATTCTTGCAAAAGTGTAAGCACAAATGGAATGATTCAACCTATAGATACATCGTTCACACCTTTTTGCAAAACACATGAATGAAATGGATCAGATTGTCTTTATGCAGTAACACATTTTATTTATTTATTTTACTTTGAGTATTTCAAAATGTGGTTACATTTATGTATTCTCGGAACTCAATGAAACAATGTAGCCGTAATAACTTGAGGTGAACAGACTTTGGGAGCTTGGTTGTGAGTTCATACTAATAGGAGCACATTTGATCCAATGCTGATACAATGAGTATGTCAGTACAGTATTCATATACTGTATGTTCTCAGTATTGATATACATCAGTCTTTTACCTGTATCACCATAACATTACAACCTAGTTTTGGCAAAATAAAACAACTAACTTTAAGACAATAAAGAATACACTTTCTAGACAATTAAATACAAATGTTATATCTAAAAAAGGCATCAAGAATTCAAAGCATACATAAACATAATTTTAAATGGTAGTGTTCTTAATTAATTAGCAATTATGTTATCATTGTTTTTAATGCCAAATGACTAATTACTTTTCTCACATTAGTGTCAAAAAACTATTGTAAAGCTTATTTATTCAATCACTTCATACCCATAAGAATAGGGAACTTTATCAACATTCAATCAAAGACCTGAATACAAATGTGGTGTAAGAAAATACATTTGATTCACAATGTAACTTTAACTTACATTTCAATGTTAAAAGTAACATTGAACAAAACATGAGAATTCCGCACAAGGATGAACGGAAAATTACAGCCCTTTTGCATTGCTTTTTTAAAAGTTATTGGTTGCTCCACAAGATGTGAAATATAGAAACAGAACAAATATCTGCCTGCATTGTGCCAGTGCAATAACAATTATTAAAGTATCCAAAAATAAAAGATTGCACACAACAATGCCTGCAAAACAGATGTTGAGACTTAATACAACTTACCTTCAGAATGTCTTTCAGTATCAAAGCAATACTTGCAATCTTGGTAAAAAGCAAACAATTGTAATCATAACTTCTCATAACTAAGATAACTGGAGTCCGAGGTACAGGACTCGAGTACTCCAAGTCTGATACACACACACACAAACACACACATCGTAAAATACCATATTTAGGCCTGTCTGCAGCTCTACAATTGTTCCAAATTATATTTTTGCATAATTTCTCTTAACTGCGATTTGGATATTACACTACTCCATAAAGCCCTTTCAATAAAACTAACATTAATTGTGCATCCCTTGCTCAGTGGCATTTATTTTCAACGCATTGAAGGAAAAGACCTGACAACTAACCACGTGTCTGTGCGCCCTGCAGGGTGGAGGTGTGGCCTGAGGAGGGCCAGTCTCTGGGTCTGAGCATCGTGGGAGGTCATCAGGTCATCAAGCGTCTGAAGAACGGAGAGGAACTGAAGGGGATCTTCATCAAACAGGTGTTAAAGAACAGCCCTGCTGCCAAAACACAGTGTCTGAAGACTGGGGACAAGATCCTTGAGGTACGAGGGCTGGGTATTCATTTTTACTTACCATGTGCGCTTCTCTCTGCTGTAACGTGGAAACAAAAATTAAATGATGGGTTTGAAAACAGATTTTGCTGTGAAATCATTACTTACTGAAATGACTGTCCGGTATTCAAACATCATCCCTATACACTATAATAGATCAACCTACTATTAAAACATATAAACATATTCTAAATACACGTTTGCAAAGTTTGAAGAACCAGAGAAGGCAAGTTCATTTATATAGCAACTTTCAACATAAGGAAATTCAAAGGGCTTTTCGCAAAGACTAGGAATGCAGGTAAAGGTTGAAAAAATAAGGATTTTATTTACCCAAAATATATGTACAGTTTTTAGGATGGGTAACAAAATCAATTAGGATGAAACAAAGGTGAATTATTTATAATATAAACAGACACAATCTAGAATCTAGCATTTATTAATAAACAAAACATTTGCCAAAATGGGTGACATGCAAAATGCTCTTCTTCCCAAGAGTAACTGTCTTTCTCTCCACACTGCAGGAATGTATACCAATGCTGGCGAGTCCCTTGTTGAGTGCAGGGGAGAGAAGACTTTAAAGATGGGTGGCTTAGATAAAGTAGCCTCTTTAAACACCCCTCAAGGTTTTAGCGGAATGACACAGTCCAAGCCAGGTGCATCGACATAGGCAGGTGCTGTTCATCAGCTCAGCCGTTTGCCAGGAGCAAGGTGAGCTAGAAGACACACAATTAACAATCACCGTTTCAAACAAGATTGCGTGCACTCAATCTAGTAAAATGAAGTTGTTTTAAAAAATGTGTCTTTAAAAAAAATATATAAGATTCAAAGGTTTTATTGTCATATGTCATATGCACATAAGCTACAGTGTAGAAATGGCAATGAAATTCTTCTGACCCGAGCTCTTCCAACGATGCAACATATATATTAAGATATACAAATACAAAATAGTGCAAGAAGTCTATGTAAATAGAATATGATGTATACAAGAACAGAATATTAAATTATATATTGTACATTAAGACAAAATTAAATACGGTTTATTGCGGTGATAACTATTTCGATAAATAAGTAGATTGACAAACAGATGAATGTTTATCGGGCACTTAACAGAGCTCAGTGTTTAACAGTCTTATGGCCTGTGGGATGAAGCTGTCCCTGAGTCTGGTGGTTTTAGTCCTGATGCTGCGGTACCGCCTGCCAGACGGCAGCAGACAGAACAGTTTGTGGCTGGGGTGATGGGGGTCTTTGATAATCCTGAGGGATTTCTTCCTGAGCCGCTGGGAGTATAGTGCACCTGTAGAAGGTCAGGATCCTCTCTATGGTGCACCTGTAGAAGGTCAGGATCCTCTCTATGGAGCACCTGTAGAAGGTCAGGATGCTCTCTATGGAGCACCTGTAGAAGGTCAGGATGCTCTCTATGGTGCACCTGTAGAAGGTCAGGATGCTCTCTATGGAGCACCTGTAGAAGGTCAGGATGCTCTCTATGGTGCACCTGTAGAAGGTCAGGATGCTCTCTATGGTGCACCTGTAGAAGGTCAGGATCCTCTCTATGGAGCACCTGTAGAAGGTCAGGATGCTCTCTATGGTGCACCTGTAGAAGGTCAGGATGCTCTCTATGGAGCACCTGTAGAAGGTCAGGATCCTCTATGGTGCACCTGTAGAAGGTCAGGATCCTCTCTATGGTGCACCTGTAGAAGGTCAGGATCCTCTCTATGGAGCACCTGTAGAAGGTCAGGATGCTCTCTATGGTGCACCTGTAGAAGGTCAGGATGCTCTCTATGGTGCACCTGTAGAAGGTCAGGATCCTCTCTATGGTGCATCTGCAGAAGGTCAGGATGCTCTCTATGGTGCACCTGTAGAAGGTCAGGATCCTCTCTATGGTGCACCTGTAGAAGGTCAGGATCCTCTCTATGGTGCATCTGCAGAGGGTCAGGATGCTCTCTATGGTGCACCTGTAGAAGGTCAGGATCCTCTCCATGGAGCACCTGTAGAAGGTCAGGATCCTCTCTATGGTGCACCTGTAGAAGGTCAGGATCCTCTCTATGGAGCACCTGTAGAAGGTCAGGATCCTCTCTATGGTGCACCTGTAGAAGGTCAGGATGCTCTCTATGGTGCACCTGTAGAAGGTCAGGATGCTCTCTATGGTGCATCTGCAGAAGGTCAGGATGCTCTCTATGGTGCACCTGTAGAAGGTTAGGATCCTCTCTATGGTGCACCTGTAGAAGGTCAGGATCCTCTCTATGGTGCACCTGTAGAAGGTCAGGATCCTCTCTATGGTGCACCTGTAGAAGGTTAGGATCCTCTCTATGGAGCACCTGTAGAAGGTCAGGATGCTCTCTATGGAGCACCTGTAGAAGGTCAGGATGCTCTCTATGGAGCACCTGTAGAAGGTCAGGATGCTCTCTATGGTGCACCTGTAGAAGGTCAGGATGCTCTCTATGGAGCACCTGTAGAAGGTCAGGATGCTCTCTATGGAGCACCTGTAGAAGGTCAGGATGCTCTCTATGGAGCACCTGTAGAAGGTCAGGATGCTCTCTATGGTGCACCTGTAGAAGGTCAGGATGCTCTCTATGGAGCACCTGTAGAAGGTCAGGATGCTCTCTATGGTGCACCTGTAGAAGGTCAGGATGCTCTCTATGGAGCACCTGTAGAAGGTCAGGATCCTCTATGGTGCACCTGTAGAAGGTCAGGATCCTCTCTATGGTGCACCTGTAGAAGGTCAGGATCCTCTCTATGGAGCACCTGTAGAAGGTCAGGATCCTCTCTATGGTGCACCTGTAGAAGGTCAGGATGCTCTCTATGGAGCACCTGTAGAAGGTCAGGATCCTCTCTATGGAGCACCTGTAGAAGGTCAGGATCCTCTCTATGGAGCACCTGTAGAAGATCAGGATCCTCTCTATGGTGCACCTGTAGAAGGTCAGGATGCTCTCTATGGAGCACCTGTAGAAGGTCAGGATGCTCTCTATGGTGCATCTGCAGAAGGTCAGGATGCTCTCTATGGTGCACCTGTAGAAGGTCAGGATCCTCTCTATGGTGCACCTGTAGAAGGTCAGGATCCTCTCTATGGTGCATCTGCAGAGGGTCAGGATGCTCTCTATGGTGCACCTGTAGAAGGTCAGGATCCTCTCCATGGAGCACCTGTAGAAGGTCAGGATCCTCTCTATGGTGCACCTGTAGAAGGTCAGGATCCTCTCTATGGAGCACCTGTAGAAGGTCAGGATGCTCTCTATGGTGCATCTGCAGAAGGTCAGGATGCTCTCTATGGTGCATCTGCAGAAGGTCAGGATCCTCTCTATGGTGCACCTGTAGAAGGTTAGGATCCTCTCTATGGTGCACCTGTAGAAGGTCAGGATCCTCTCTATGGTGCACCTGTAGAAGGTCAGGATCCTCTCTATGGTGCACCTGTAGAAGGTCAGGATCCTCTCTATGGAGCACCTGTAGAAGGTCAGGATCCTCTCTATGGTGCACCTGTAGAAGGTCAGGATCCTCTCTATGGAGCACCTGTAGAAGGTCAGGATGCTCTCTATGGTGCACCTGTAGAAGGTCAGGATCCTCTCTATGGTGCACCTGTAGAAGGTCAGGATCCTCTCTATGGTGCACCTGTAGAAGGTTAGGATCCTCTCTATGGAGCACCTGTAGAAGGTCAGGATCCTCTCTATGGTGCACCTGTAGAAGGTCAGGATCCTCTCTATGGAGCACCTGTAGAAGGTCAGGGTCCTCTCTATGGTGCACCTGTAGAAGGTCAGGATCCTCTCTATGGAGCACCTGTAGAAGGTTAGGATCCTCTCTATGGAGCACCTGTAGAAGGTCAGGGTCCTCTCTATGGTGCACCTGTAGAAGGTCAGGATGCTCTCTATGGTGCACCTGTAGAAGGTCAGGATGCTCTCTATGGTGCACCTGTAGAAGGTCAGGATGCTCTCTATGGTGCACCACCTGTAGAAGGTCAGGATCCTCTCTATGGAGCACCTGTAGAAGGTCAGGATGCTCTATGGTGCACCTGTAGTAGAAGGTCAGGATCCTCTCTATGGTGCACCTGTAGAAGGTCAGGATCCTCTCTATGGTGCACCTGTAGAAGGTCAGGATCCTCTCTATGGTGCACCTGTAGAAGGTCAGGATGCTCTCTATGGTGCACCTGTAGAAGGTCAGGATGCTCTCTATGGAGCACCTGTAGAAGGTCAGGATGCTCTATGGTGCACCTGTAGAAGGTCAGGATCCTCTCTATGGTGCACCTGTAGAAGGTCAGGATCCTCTCTATGGTGCACCTGTAGAAGGTCAGGATCCTCTCTATGGTGCACCTGTAGAAGGTCAGGATGCTCTCTATGGTGCACCTGTAGAAGGGCAGGATCCTCTCTATGGAGCACCTGTAGAAGGTCAGGATCCTCTCTATGGTGCACCTGTAGAAGGTCAGGATCCTCTCTATGGAGCACCTGTAGAAGGTTAGGATCCTCTCTATGGTGCACCTGTAGAAGGTCAGGATCCTCTCTATGGAGCACCTGTAGAAGGTCAGGATCCTCTCTATGGAGCACCTGTAGAAGGTCAGGATGCTCTCTATGGAGCACCTGTAGAAGGTTAGGATCCTCTCTATGGTGCACCTGTAGAAGGTCAGGATGCTCTCTATGGAGCACCTGTAGAAGGTCAGGATCCTCTCTATGGTGCACCTGTAGAAGGTCAGGATCCTCTCTATGGTGCACCTGAAGAAGGTCAGGATCCTCTCTATGGAGCACCTGTAGAAGGTCAGGATGCTCTCTATGGTGCACCTGTAGAAGGTCAGGATCCTCTCTATGGTGCACCTGTAGAAGGTCAGGATCCTCTCTATGGAGCACCTGTAGAAGGTCAGGATGCTCTCTATGGTGCACCTGTAGAAGGTCAGGATGCTCTCTATGGTGCACCTGTAGAAGTTGCAGAGTATTCTGGAGTCCATGTTGAACCTCCTCAGCCTGCGGAGGAAGAAGAGTGTGATGAGTCGATGTCAGGTCCTCAGTGATGTGTGTGGTTTTGATGCTTGTAGCCTTCACACAAAGTAATTGAAGTTTAATACAATTCTAAGGCAAGTTGTATTTTTGAGGATTCATTTTATCATTGAAAAATGACTCTGTGCTCTCCGCAAATCCAATATGTTAATAAACCTCAAGTCTCAATATTTAAGAAAGTAAAATTGAGGTTTTGCTGTTCTTAGGAGAACATTTCTGTGTGCACAATTATTGGGTGGACTATTAGTGTGCAGAACTAATATGCAACTAAAGGAAAAACGAAAACGTTCCCATCTCACTTGTTTATTTATTTTAATAAACAAACAACTCAAAATGTAGAAATAAAAATGTTTGAGATTAAAAAAAAACAGTAATGAATATAGCCACCCTTCTCTTCAATAATAAGCCTTCCATTCATGGAGTCTGTCAGTTTCTGGATCTGTGGACGATCAACCGCAGCCTCCTCACAGCTAGCCACGCAGAGGAGCACTTCGATGTCCTGCATACAATCATGGTCTTCTTTTTGTGTGTTCTAAAAAGTGGCAGTAGGGTTGGGAGTTGATTTTGAGTCAACCCTCACCTCTTCAACCTGAAAAGGTCAAACTAGCTCCTCTTTAGTAATACATGCACCTTGCTGGGGTCTGAGTGGAAGTGGAGCTCTGGGCCCGGTACTGATCCAGCCGCCCATCCATCTGGTCCATGCAGAGTCACCCTCATCTCATCAGTCCAGAAAACCTTTGACAAATCTGTCTTCAGATATGTCTTGGCCCAGTCTTGATCTCATGTGTCTTGTTCAGTGGGGGTTTCAGCCTCCCTCACCTTGGCCATGTCTCTGAACACCTGAGACTTCTGGGCTCTCAGGTAGGTCACAGTTCTGGAGTATGACCACACTGGAGGATAATGGCTTCCTGGTGGCTTCACGTTTGATTCTTCTCAGATCTTTGGCAGTTCATTTGAGTCTTTTTGTCTCAACACGTTTCTTGCCACCCTGTTGACTATTTTCAACAAAACCGTTGATTGTTTTGTGATCACGCCCCAACATCTTAGATATTTCAAGCTGCATCCCTCTGAAATGTTTGACTTCAGTTAAATCTCTTTTTTGGCCCATTTTACCTGAGGAAAAGAAGCTGCTAATAGTTCTGTACACATTGATATAACATGTTGATCTCATTAGATCACCCTCCCTCATTACACAAATACTGTACACATCAGCTGATATGCTTAACTCCAATACACATTCAAGTTTTTACAGCTTGGAGTTGGAAAATATGAGCAACAATGATGATATGGTCAAACTACTTACTTGACTAACAATTGTGCACACAGTATATACAAATGAATAAATGAGGATTATTGAAAGGGGAAAAGTCCAGTAAGAAACTAAAGAGGAACTAAAATAATGCTTTGAGCTCTTTGAGGGACGTGAGACAGAGGGTTAGTGCTTTTGGCGGGAAATATTTCCTGGATCTGTCCATCAGACAGCTGAGCCAAACACTGAAATTATGGATTTTGAAAGATTGGAATGAATTATTTAGATGATTTTTTCCTTTTATTTTCAACAGGTAAAGTGTTTGGCTTGATATTTGAGTGCTGGCTGATGTTTGTGTGCAGGTGTCAGGTGTTGACCTACGAGTGGCCAGTCATGAGGAGGCGGTGAATGCCATCAAATCCGCTCCGAGCCCCGTGGTCTTCATCGTCCAGAGCCTGTCCACCACTCCACGGGTAAACAACACACACACACACACACACACACACACACACACACACACACACACCACACACACACACACACACACACACACACACACACACACACACACACACACACACACACACACACACACACACACACACACACACACACACACACACACACACACACACACACACACACACACGCACACACACACACCACACACACACACACACACACACACACTGGAGGAGGGGGGAATAAAATCCTCCCTGCAATCCTTTCTAATGTAACGAGGATGACGTTACAGGGTATTATGGTCTGTAATAGACATGGACATTAAGCAAGACAAAGACACAAGACAAAGAAAAAGATGAAGGGGTGGAAAAGGAAAAGCTTTTCAAACTTAAAGGAATCCCTTTATGAATACTTTAATAGGATATTCCCGATGCTAACCTTACATACCTAAATGGATGAAAGTAGTAGAATTAAAAACCCAGAGACCTATAAGATGAAATGCCATGATGAATTAACACACTTGGTGTTGCAGTTTAAAAAATCAGCTGTTCTTCAAGGACAGGGCGAGTGATAAAACCAGGAACTGTCCAGCTTCCTTATATTGGAGGCTGACTGAAAAGCATGAGAGGCAATCTGATAGTAGGTTGAAAATATGCGTGCGTGCGTGCGTGCGTGTGTGTGTGTGCGCGCGCGCGCATGTGTTTCAGCCTGTGTCTCTAACAGCCCCCAGCTACAAAAAACACAAATGAACGAGGACTGAGTCTCCGGTAAGAAAAGGGACTTCCTCACTGTTGGTGTCCTGCAGAGTCAGTGGTGTTTATTCAATTTGTCTGGATGTTTAACTCCAAATCACATTTCATAAATGCAAAACAAAAAAATATTCAAACTGATGTAGTTGAGGTCCATCAAAGTGAGTCCAGCAGAGGGCAGCACACCCTCAGCACACTGAGGCATTCCTCTAGCTCTCACAACACTGAATAACAGGCACTCCATTCCTGTAGGCGCCAGCCCCCCCACCTCTGAGACAACTCCCTCCCTACAGACCTCCCAGCCACTCAGATCAGGAGCTGAACTCTGACCTGGAACAGGCCAAAGGTCAGTAACCCACACACACAACCCCACGCACACACACACACAAACCCCCACATACACACACACACACACACAAACCCCCACATACACGCACACAAATCCCCCCCCCACACACATACACACGCACACACAGTGTTGATGTCTTAATGATGATGGTACTTTAATTAGCTTGGAGTTTTTCTTCACAGAGGCTCCATTTGCAACTTAAACAATTACAAAATATTTAATCAAAAGCTAAGCTGAGTCTCCAATCACAGCAGACAATATAATGGAAAGCCTTTAACAAACACTTGATCCGAGATTCAGCTCCGTGTTCCTTTCTTTGATTGACTGTTCCACAAACGAGTGCATTAACCTGACCCTTTCAAATGGTGGGACGTCTGTAGGTCTCATTTCATTCTAACGGGTAGCATTGGTGATTCAGGACATTATTGGGCTCATAGACAATGTTTTTGGCCAGCATTGATATGTTTTAATGGTAAGCTGCTTGATAGAGCTTCTGAATAGGGTTGACCTACAATTTCTTTTTCATATTGTGGAGCAACTTAAAAAATGTTTGCTCTCGGCTAAAATTGATAATAATTTGAGGAAACTTGAGCAGCAGCACAGAAACATGGTACCCAAAGCTTTCAGAACACACAAACACATCCTGCATCCACAGGATCCCCAGGGGCCGTCCTAAAGTTATATACAAATGTTCTTCTGTAATAATAGTGTCTTGTGTTTGTGTGTTTCTACTGCTTGTAGGGATTTCTTCAGTTGTTCCTATGTGTTCTTTTGTGAGCATCATTTACCTGTCTTAAGTGTTCTCTATATTTGTTAGGGGGTCTGCTCCCTGTGAGAAGCTTCTTTTATAATAATCAACGCTCTACTATTCCTAAGGACAATTATTCCAATTATTTTGAGATTTTTGAGGAACTTGCTTTTTTGATGACCGCTCTGGGGTGACTGTACATCCTGTTGAGTTTATTCAAAATCCTAGAAAAGCAAACTCATTAACTAACAGTTTACATTTGAGTGAAACAGTTTGAGTCGCTTCAGATCTTCCTCTTCTAGTTGAAAGTGCTGCTCCTCGCATTGTGTGCAGTATTCATCCTGGAAAGTCTTTTGAGCGTGGAGTCGTGTGTGTGTTTGTGTGTGACTTCTAAAAGTGACCATCTACTGTCCCTTTGAAGAAAGAAATGGAGAGAGGTGTGTGTTTTGGTTACTTAAATATAAATATTTACAAACATTTTACATCAGTGCTGCAATGTTTTAGATCGCATAGTATCTCAGTAATATATCATTTATATGTACAAATACTGTATGTCAGTTCACTTTAAAGTATTTCAGTGTCTCAAGAGTTTTCTTGGAGGTTCTCAGAGTATGTGAGAGTGCCTCAGTGTGTCCGGGTATCTTAGTAGCAGTGAGTGTGTCAGTAGTGTGCTTTAGTTTAAGTCAAAGTGTCTCATTGCATCTCATTTACGTCAGAGTATCACTTCTCTCAGTGTATGGATCTCAGTGTGTTTCACTGTATCTCACAGTTGATGTTGCTGTGTGTTGTAGTGTGAGGTAGCCGGCAGTGTGTTAATGTGTGTGTTCTTGTCTTTGCAGGACTTGTTTGAACCAGCAGTCCCTCCGTCCCGTGTTACAGCACAGAGTGGAGGACCGTCATTCCTCCCCTCTCTCTCGATCTTTCTCTCTGGTGTCTGGGTTTCCTCTGCCTCTCTATAGTGCGTTTGGTTTGGTTTTGGTGCGTCTGAACGGGAAGGCGGGGCTTTGAGGGTTGTTTCTTCTGGCTGCTGGCTGGATGGGTTAGCTTTTGTGAAAGGAGCTTGTGCTACTTGATTGAATGGGTTTGGAGCTCTTTGTTGTAATGGGTGTGGTGTTTGAAGCTGTTTGGTGAAAGGTGTTCCTCTGACTGGATTCACTTTAACACCTGATGTTCTTTCTGAGGTGGAAATGACTTTTAATTCTGGACTTTTGTAGCAATTAAATCATTTAAATGTCTTTGATATAGTAGAGGAATTTGGATATCTTTGACAGCTATAAGCTGAAGTAGTGCATGTGTACTGTATCAAGTACAACCCAACTACAAATAACTGTATAGAATGATCAAAACTTCCCCTGCTATGTTTGCGGACTATGCAGCAAGCAAAACACCTTTGTATGTTGTTCATATAAACAGCCTTTATAGTTATTAAAATAATGAATTTCCACGAGTTCATTTGGATATTGATTCACACAGAATTCAATTGTATGTATGTCTGGACATGTTTATGTTACAAATGTGTATGCAGCAGAGGTCATTTCTCACAGAGCCTTTAATAAAATCAAGAAAGCTGTTTAACTGTTATGTTAAAATGTGATGTCTTTGTGTTCAGGCACAGCTGCAGTTACATCTATTTATCATGGTTGTTGTTTAAGTTGTAATATTTGACTTTAACTGCAGATGTGACAAAGTGCTAATACAAATATGGTTTTGCTGAAGAAAACTTCCTTTTCTAAACAACAAGCACTAAAGTCTTTGGCAGAGTTAGGATTGATTTCCAAGCTAAAGGAATTCTGTGAAAGCCAATTGTTATGATCTCAGTCTCCTCGAGTGTCTGGTCTTTAGCCAGACTCTGGGACAGCTGAAGCTCTCCTCCTCAACAGTGAATGGTGGTAGTAAGTTTCAAGATTCATGGCTTTATTGTCATGTGCACAGTAGCTACATTGTAGATATGGCAATGAAAAACGTGAGTCCCAGGATCCTCCCACAATGCAACATGTTTTAGGACATAAAACAAATTAAAGCAATACAAATAGTGAAATAAATAACAATATAAATTAAAGCTGCAAGCAGCGATGAGCGAGCGATCACAATAGGGTCTTCGCCAACCTCTGGTCTCAGACCCTAATAAAACAGTACAAGAGAGTCTATATACAGTGGGCCAAAAAAGTATTTAGTCAGCCACCAATTGTGCAAGTTCTCCCACTTAAAAAGATGAGAGGGGCCTGTAATTTTCGTCCTAGGTATACCTCAACTATGAGAGACAGAATGGGGGGAAAGAATCCAGGAAATCACATTGTGGGATTTTTAAAGAATTTATTTGCAAATTATGGTGGAAAATAGGTATTTGGTCATTAACAAAAGTTCATCTCAATACTTTGTTATATACCCTTTGTTGGCAATGACAGAGGTCAAACGTTTTCTGTAAGTCTTCACAAGGTTTTCACACACTGTTGCTGGTATTTTGGCCCATTCCTCCATGCAGATCTCCTCTAGAGCAGTGATGTTTTGGGGCTGTCGCTGGGCAACACGGACTTTCAACTCCCTCCAAAGATTTTCTATGGGGTTGAGATCTGGAGACTGGCTAGGCCACTCCAGGACCTTGAAATGCTTCTTACGAAGCCACTCCTTCGTTGCCCGGGCGGTGTGTTTGGGATCATTGTCATGCTGAAAGACCCAGCCACGTTTCATCTTCAATGCCCTTGCTGATGGAAGGAGGTTGTCACTCAAAATCTCATGATACATGGCCCCATTCATTATTTCCTTTACACGGATCAGTGGTCCTGGTCCCTTTGCAGAGAAACAGCCCCAAAGCATGATGTTTCCACCCCCATGTTTCAGAGTAGGTATGGTGTTCTTTGGATGCAACTCAGCATTCTTTCTCCTCCAAACACGTCTAGTTGAGTTTTTACCAAAAAGTTCTATTTTGGTTTCATCTGACCATATGACATTCTCCCAATCCTCTTCTGGATCATCTAAATGCTCTCTAGCAAACTTCAGACAGGCCTGGACATGTACTGGCTTAAGCAGGGGGACACGTCTGGCACTGCAGGATTTGAGTCCCTGGCGGCGTAGTGTGTTACTGATGGTAGCCTTTGTTACTTTGGTCCCAGCTCTCTGCAGGTCATTGACTAGGTCCCCCCGTGTGGTTCTGGGATTTTTGCTCACCGTTCTTGTGATCATTTTGACCCCACGGGGTGAGATCTTGCCTGGAGCCCCAGATCGAGGGAGATTATCAGTGGTCTTGTATGTCTTCCATTTTCTAATAATTGCTCCCACAGTTGATTTCTTCACACCAAGCTGCTTACCTATTGCAGATTCAGTCTTCCCAGCCTGGTGCAGGTCTACAATTGTGTTTCTGGTGTCCTTTGACAGCTCTTTGGTCTTGGCCATAGTGGAGTTTGGAGAGTGACTGTTTGAGGTTGTGGACAGGTGTCTTTTATACTGATAACGAGTTCAAACAGGTGCCATTAATACAGTTAACAAGTGGAGGACAGAGGAGGCTCTTAAAGAAGAAGTTACAGGTCTGTGAGAGCCAGAAATCTTGTTTGTTTGTAGGTGACCAAATACTTATTTTACAGAGGAATTTACCAATTCATTCATTAAAAATCCTACAATGTGATTTCCTGGATTCTTTCCCCCCATTCTGTCTCTCATAGTTGAAGTGTACCTAGGATGAAAATTACAGGCCTCTCTCATCTTTTTAAGTGGGAGAACTTGCACAATTGGTGGCTGACTAAATACTTTTTTGCCCCACTGTATTGCACTATGGTCAGACAGGTCTGTAACACCTATTCTACAGTCTTCTACCCTATATTTATCTCCCTTTGACATACAAAAGTAATCTATCCTAGAATAGACTGAGTGTGAGTAGTGTGTGTAGTCTCTCCATATATATGTGATTCCTAGTTCCTTCAGTTGTATGTTCATGTATCTGACAATATGCGTCCTAGCCTTCCTTGTACTTGTTGTATCTAAATCATAGTTTAGTACCACATTGAAGTCCCCCCCGCAAATCAGAATTCCTTCCATTTCCACAGCTATGATATCAAACAATTCCTTAAAAAAAGTCTTATCGCTGTCCGGTGGGGCGTAAACATTAATTAGTGTAACCATTTGTCCTTCCATTTTCCCCTTGATCACCACATACCTCCCCTCTGTTGTACAGGCTCACATTTGTTTATTTCAAATGTTACTGAGTTCCCAATTAGTGTAGCCACCCCTCTCCTACCTTGCTTAAATGAACTATAAA